AATGTTCATAATATTACAGTCAAAGAGAGAAGACCAACGAAGCATTTGACACGCAAAATATTTAAAAGAAAACGATTTACAATTTACACAAAGGTACAAACAATTACAAAGTTATAGAACAAATTTTATGTCATACAAATCTTATTTATAACGATAGCCCGCCTTCATATTTTTGTTCCGAGAAACCTATTCAAGTAAAAGACAAAAATAAAGTAGTTTAGAATAAGGAAACAGTCATAAACATGTTTTAGTGGAATATTTCAAATTTCGATTGCAACTTTTTTTAAAAAAATATCTATTTCATTGTTTTTCATTTATTCTACGAATGATTGACACTTTTGCTAGCATTTTCATAAAGACACCTTACCGACTTTAATGTATGTTCTATCATTACAAATGGGCACTTAATATGAGACTTTCAACCTGATGAAATCGTGATTTAGTGGATTGCGATATAACCTTGTAGGTTACATTACTTGATTACAGGAAGTAAACTGATGGGCAGCGAGTCGTCGGTAAAAAAAGGCAATGCGTTCTTTAAAACAGAAGCAATGATCTAGAATTTTTATCATGCGCATGCATTATTTAGTCTCTGTTGTCTCTTTTTTGAATATTTTCAGAAACATAACAGTTGGCAGGAACAGTTACATGACACGCACCTGCTCAGGAAACATGTGTTCGCCTTTCCGTTTTGTCGAATTGGCACGAAAACGTGTTTAAAATTGACATCGCTCTGCCCGAAAGAAATCTATATGACCCCGATGGCGATAATGTATTTAGAATATGCTTGATTTTTGTCACATGAAGAAGGGGGCGTTTAATCTCTTTATCAATTATTGCAAATGTAGCAAAATACAATCACCATACAAATAATGTCCTCAGTTTAACTGTAATTTTTGCGACATTCGTAAAAGTTGCCAATAAGTAACTGTTTGGAAATAATTACAAGACTTCAAAATTATAAAATAAAAGCATTTTAGAGACATAATTTACCTTGATAAAAACCAGATACTTATGTTGTCTTACTACTTGCAATACAAATTTCTATCTATAAAGCTTTTGAAATGGCATAAGATTTTAAGCTTGTGATAGTAAACTAAAGTGAATTAGAACATTTGAAAAAAGTCTAAAACATTGGAAACATTTGTAACCCGAACATAATAAAAGCTACAGCGAACTATATAAGACGTCTTATGTCAGAGTCAAATATAGAGCCGATCATTCTATAAGCGTAGTTTTTAAACGATATATATTGTTTGGCAATATTGACATGAGACCTTTGAAATTTCAATGACCTTTAGTCGGTAGTTCATACGGTTAATTATATGGATTTTAAAGTATAGCATAACGGTAAACAAGGTTCATTTATTGCTTAAAGTTACCGAATCAAGACTTGCCAACTAGCCTCGGTAATAAGGAGTTACGACTCTGTTCCAAATTGAAGATTGTAGGTTTTAATCTTAATAAGAAAAAACAAGTTTTTTTAAATTATATTTTGAGTATTTTGAGAAACATTATTACTACTAAGGTTTTGTGTATGCCAGTCCACTAATGTACGACTGTATATTTGAAATTATAGAAATGTACATATAAATCAAAAATTAGGATTGTTTAAAGAAATGACACAACAAAGTAACGAAATGATTCATTCCCTTATGTTGCATATAATTGAATTAAAAAAAAGAAATCAGAAGAAAAACAACAGTTCGTTGAGGATTCAAACTTTGCGATTGCTTTGCTATCATACTTTCCACTTGACAATCGGGACGTTAGTATGACATAAATTATAAAGAACTTTTCTATTATTAACAATCAATAAGTTAATAGTAACAAAGTACGGTAAACACGTAAAAGCTTCCGAAAATCAATTAGTCTCAGGTCAATACTGCCTAATGATACATTTATGCGATTTATCTTATTAAAAAATCGTTTAAGCAATGAATACAAGATTATTTGACAATATTGATCTGATAAATTTGAATGTTCAATTACTTTTTGCCGGTAATAGTCTGAAGCACACCATACTGAGCATCTACTGTTAAGACCTTACACCCCAATGAAAGACAAGTCGCGTGCATTGAAATTAATGTCGTCATTCCCTCGCGCTTTTTATGAATGAATTGCTCTCTTAGACTGACGTCATTTTGCGTTATGAATGAAGTTATAAATTCATACGCTTCCATAAGAAAAGAGGACTAAATGAAAATATTATTTTTTGCAAATTCCTCCTGAAATAAGATTGAAATGTTATATGCAAGAAAAAGGATCAAGCACCGGCTGTCGTAACAGACGGATATATCTAGCTATCGGATAACTGCTTAGCGGAAACTAGGCAGAGCCTCGTTGCCGTTGTTACCAGTTATCCTCGAGCAAGACATTCCGGTCGGTACGGGCAACCGGTATTAGATCCTTATACGAATATACTTGCGTGTATGTTACGTCATCTGTAAAGGCGACTTTAATTCGTAAGAGCAATAACAACAATAGATATATAGCTAACTGAAATCAACAAAACACTTAATCTTACTAACGTAAACTCAAATTATACATTTCCATTTAACTAGAAATGTGGATGCTTTTATGTAAATTTCTATATCGTTTTCTTTCCTGTGTTAAGAAATGTAGGCCGATTTTTTCTAATATCTTTACTTATCGTTCCTTAACACGTGCAAATTCTTTCTTCTATGCATCACAAGTTAATTGATTGACAGCCTTGGAAAGACCGGAGCCTGTCCATTTATACAATGATGTACGTATCTGAAGAATATTATTAGTTGAAAAAACTCGTGACAAAGGCGGCGTGCGGGTATCATTGTTAGATCTGTGGAAGGTCTAGTTGCATTTAGCAAAAAGCATTGATGTGTTATATAGTTATATATAAGCAAACACTATTGAAATATTGAAATTTCATCCTGATTTTATCTTGCTTCATTTTGTGCACTTTGTGTTAACAATAACAGTTAAAATTATCATTTCAATAGTTAGATTATTGGGTTTATATTTCTCTGTATACGTAAAGTTGTTTATGATTGCACAAACAGACGGCGAATACAGTTAATTTAGATTTTTGTTATAAAATTACCAATTGTAAAAACCTGAACATTTCAAGAACTTCCATTGCATATCACACCAGCTGATAACGAAACACTTATTTAACAACATTTAAATCCAAGGAAAAAGCTTAAATTCAAGGGCGGCTCTTAAAGATTGGTTCAAATCGTATCAGTAATTGGACATTTTAAAAGTATATTTATGAATAAAAATCAACTACAATACCTTTGATAGTAGGTTATTAAATAAAGGATTCATAAAATCAAAGGTAGGACGTTTTGTCCAACAATATTGACCTGGCACTCTTGCATTTGACCCTATAGTTGGTAAATTCCGTAAACGTATGTCGATATAATGTAGATAACAATTTCTTAAATAGTCTGAATAAAAAAATCCCTCAAAGTCGGTAAAGGTCTTTCACTTCAAGAATATAGACGTAAACTCGTAGGTTAGAATCCTGGTTCTGTCACTTTTATTTCTTCTTTCTATTTTACTTTTAAAATTGCGGTCAATATTAATTTTTTCAGTACATATCACATCATATTCACCAGCTAATAAGTACATATCTGTTAATTATATAATTTATGAAAAGCTTTTACATGGCTTATCAAATCTGCCATAGCAAACGACGGAAATCGTTATTTTTCAGCTTGTCTACTTTTTATATTTTGGCTCTATCTTTAAAATAAGTGCATTCGTATCTTTTTTAAATATCAAGACTTGGCTTGACGTCATGTCATAGTCTCCTGTCTTTCGGGGGATTAACAGAAAAATCTATTTTTTTAGAAAAATATAATTTAATATTGACCTGTTATTTTTTGCAAGAAAATTGCTTGTTAGCCAATCAGGGATAGGCATTTCAAAGCTTTTATAGATTATATAATAAATTGATACATTAGTTTGATTTTTGTGTTCTAGTGTTTATCCAAGACCTTTACGAAAGTCAATGACGTACCAGGTCAATATTGTTTGACAATATATTTTATTATGTTTTGGTACTGAACACAGATATCACATACAGATCTTTTCAACACAAACAAGTAAAATTCATTCAAATATACATATGATTTCTTCAATTAGTATCAGTTACTTGTCTGATGTTGAAAAAGTAAAGTATTCGATGTATATGTTATATTAGTAATTTCGGCGCTATTCAATAATATTAATTACCGAGCCCCTAAGGGTCGATTTTGTTTTCTGTAATTATAAATATATAAATTATGAAACAAAATAAGACTTGCGTGTGTCACTTTTCACTTGACATTTTCCAAAGTTATTATATCCGTTGTACGCCATATGAAACAAGTCTGGTTTCGGTGCACTTCAATAGTATTACTGACGAGCCCGGAGGGTCAAGTATATTCAAAGATTGACCATTTTCATGTTTATATGTTGATAGCTGCTTAAGCCTGTGCTCTGGAATGTTGCACTTGCCATAACGGTCAAGCCGAGCCTGTATTTTTTTATTAAGCCGTTCCGTGCGTTCTTTTGGAATTCGGGACATTTCATGACAGGCTATTCTTAAACTCACCATTAGTTGAACTGACCAAAATATAACATTATCATTAATGATTCCATGTAATTACAATAAATCGTTCCACAAAACATTTCTTAAATCTCTTCTTCACAGTATAAAGTCTTAAAAAGTTTTCCTACAAAGAATGTACATGACATTTTAGAAATAGCTTTATAATTAACATCCATGAACTAATCATTTGATTTCTTGTAATAATGTTGACCATACATCAGATCAATTTAAATATGAAATATAAATTAAAACCAAAAGAGAAATCTCATTTTGAAAACTATCAGACAAGACAGGCAGATTTGTCCCCCTTAGGAAAAGTTATAAAACAGAAGTAATGCAAGAGTTATCTTAAATACATCTTGAAAATAAAACACTATTTATCTTTCTGAAACGTATTTTTAAAAAAAAATTAACCAAAACGTCGAGATTCGAATAAGAAAATATTAAACAAATTGTGCGCTTCAGACAATTTTGAAAGTCAAGTCCTTTTGATAAGTGTTATGAGTTCTTTTATATTCTACGCACTTGAACACAGCTTAATTTAACCACATGAAAACCGGAAAGTCCTTGTGAAAACACTTTAATTTAAAACATTATTTGCGCATATAGATAAATTAAGCGTTCTTTGAAAGAAACAAAATGTCAGAAAATAAATATTGAGCTTAATTATTAAAGATGTGTTTCTTGAGGATATATTTATTACTGGTAAGTACACTATATCAATTGATAGTTAATTGTCTTGATCATTGTTTGATAAGATTTGTGTGTTGTTTTGTTTTCTGCTTTATCTCATGTATATATTAAAATATGTTGAAATATAAACAATTATAGTTTATAATTGAAATTTATCCAAGAAAACTCAAAGTGTATTATTTTCGTTATTACAAGCTAAAATACAGGTTTACTACAACTGTACTTATTGCTAAAACAGCAAATGATGAAAAAGCTGGTTCAAATAATTGGCCTGTGAGTAACATTTTTGGATACTATAAAAACACCAAAATAAAAATGATTTTAAGAAATACAAGTAAAGGCATATCTTAGTCATAATGGGCATTTAAGTACTCGCTGTTGTATGAATGTATTAATACTTCAACACATCCTACAAAATATCAATCAAGAGTTCATACAAACAAGTCTTTTTAATATTCTAGCCCTACATTGCCCTCTTAAACGCATTATTTCAGCAGCGTATGCAGTGAAACTTGGCGGTTATTAAAGAAATAATTTATGAGAAAAAAGTTATTATAAAATAAAACAATCGCAGGAAAACCATTCAGTAGAAGGGGAAATACATCAAACTCTAATCATTTGACTCATTGTATGAATGCATAATTTTGTATTATATCATTATTGAAGGTAATTATAACAATTTGGAGTCAAGGTGTAAATGGAGATTTTTCAATTGACCAAAGTCTGGCCGAGAATAATGATAATAAAGGTATGTTACTTATATTAGTATCACCTGAATGTATATGAATGATGCAAAAGAATAAAAATATGGAATAAAAAGTAACCCTTTATTGATTTTTGTCATGTATTGTCATTCCGACAAATATTAGAAGATGCCCTAAGTATGCCTAATAATTGGCTAGTATTAAAAGACCACACAAAAGGGAAACATTGACATGATTCATTAATGATTAAATATAAGCTTTTTTATTCAAATTTAAAAGTTCATTCATCTATCAGTCAAGCACATTTAGAACAAAAATTTAAGTTGAATTTAAGTTAAATATTTAACAACAGTGTTAACTATAAAAGTGTTCAAATAATTTATAATCGTGCTTTGAATTGACAGTGCTTCAACTTTTTCATACATTTTAGAGAAGGTTGACGACAGTGAATTTACCTTGATGGAGCTTGATATGATTATAAATAAAAGTCACAAGACGCCTTCAAGGTTAGGTTGTAAAATTTATTTTATAAGTTTATCTATACCATTATTAATTTTATTGTTATTGTTTGTCTTTCTGACGGGATTTGAGGGATATTGCATGTTTTTCATTATTCTCTCAGGAACAGACTGAATCAAACGGAGTCTGCAATTTTCATGTGTTGTTGTGATTAACGTTTCTGAGGGGTCCCTCTTTCTAAAGATTTGTATGACAGCATTTTACTTCAGTGATGTTATAATTTTCTGGTCCCTAGGGATTATTGAGTCCAGCACTTTGTAGGGTTGAAAAGTCGGTGCTGGGGGGGGGGGGGCGGATGAAGCATGCTTTTCTTCATAACTCTTATGTACAGACTAAATCCCATCGAATCTGCTTTTTCTTTTGTATTTCTTTTTTGAGAAAAAAGCGTTAATTAACAATTACAACGGTGTAAGAAAATGCATACAAAGGAGTCTCCTCAAATAGTGTGTATGACAGAAAATAGAGGGAGATAATTACATAGGTTAATGTATATATAAATTTGTATACAAATATATATTTTCTCGGATTGTACAATATGTGTCTATAACAGAAAAGGATGATAATTACATTTACATCGGCATTATATTACAATGTTTTTGTGTTGCTGCGTAGATATATTAATTCTATGTTATGACTATTTTAATGTTGAAAATGATTGAGTTAAGATAGATGCGCATTTAATAGGTCAATACAGTAAAAATAAGACATATTTACTAAACTTATTATTCATATCATTTTATACAACCTAGACCGGAACGATACCGTGCATTTATTGACAAAGACGAAACAAAACGTTGGCCGAGAGAAATTCCATTTGAAATTGGCGACGGTATTGGTAAGTTCTCAACGTATAGTGGTCTTTTATTTATTCCATAAAAAATTGTTGTTTTTTTTTTTTCATTCTTAATAAAGGGACAAACATAATAAGTTGACTAGAAGAGCACTATGATTTTTGCCTTGCATCTTCTATCGTTTTAGCACGTACTTTAATTTTATAGATTCAAACAAGTATAAAAGTGACTTTAATATGTTCAACTACTTTAAGTAACAATTGCTATTTATAAAACTTTGCTCAAACTTAATACTATGATGGATTCTTGTAATTGTTGAAATAAATTTATGTTGTTTATTTTTCTTCACCTCACCTGTATGCCATTTACAAAAGAACAATGACCTTAGAATTCAAACTTTGTGAAACCTCATGATACATATCCAAATGGTAAACGAGTGCTGGATATACCCATGCACTGTTACCTACCATAGTGCTCAAGTTGAAAACATCATTTTTCGAAGCTTATGTTTTCCATTGTAGATTTTTATAGATATAAACTTGTTCCAATATTTGACACAAGGTCAAACTTTTATCTCTAAGAATGTAAGGTGTCATAACCATGGCTATTTCATAGTATGCAAACGTGTGTTTTTCATTTCAGATGAGCTTCAGGAACTTACCATCCATCGAGCGATTCGTATATGGGAACAGTTCTCATGCCTTCATTTCTATAATGACAAGCAGGCGTACGACCGATTTGTGTTCCAACGAGGATACAATAACTTGTAATTCTTATATACATTGTCATTAAAATATTCTTGGTCTAGGTTCATCCGGATCATTTATCAAACCCTACTTGTACTAAAGTATAATTTTCTTTCTTAACTGGTGCTAACAATTCATTGCAATGAATTGTTTGTTCTTTCACGTTTTTATTTCATTTTTGGCTCATGCATCCTGATATTTTAAGAATTACACAAAGGTTTAACATCACTAACGAAAAAAAGTAGAAAAGGCTTCAAAGCTAACTTTCATTGTTTAAATTTCTTTTACATTATTGTATAATCACAAGTATGTTAGATGTTTCCAGTGTTTCATGTTCAACATGCCTGTTGATACTAATACTTGTTAGAGTAAGAGTACAACGTTTACCGCAGAGCACAGAGTATTACTAAAGATTAAAGCCTTCAGATTAGTGCAACACTAAGCATATATTTGAAAAGTAAGGTGTAGATACTTTGCTTACTTGAGCAAAAGTGTTCAATGTAAGATAATTTGTGTTACCCATTTGTCCGTCGTATTTCGTCTGTCGTTAACAGTTTCACTTTAACAAAAGCTTCTTCTTAACCCCTAAACCAATACTAAAGGAACTAAACAGGAATATTTTGAACGATCCGCAAAATTCCTTAACTGGATAATCTGGTCTGCAAGTCAAGATGGCTACTTAAGCTTAAAAGTAGAAATACCTTTAACGACAATTCTCCCTAAACTATTTGAAAAGATCCGGATTTGATGACACTTTAGCGGAATGTCTTATTTGGACTTATATAAAGATACGCAAGCGATTCAAGTCTGTCGAGCAAGATGGCTGTCAGAGCTAAAACATGGACAAAAGTGTTCAATGAAGTTCTGTCCTTAACCGTCCAATAGAGTTTGACAAAACTCTATGTAAACGATCATTGGACAGTCTTTTACTAAAGTTGCTACACATGAACCAGTCTGCTACATGCTTTTGTAACCTCACTGCAAAAGCTAAAAATAAACCCCTTGAAAACACATATCCTCTTAAAATGTCGAGTAGATTTTAATTGAACCATACTGAAATGATCACTTGATAATTTTCTATAAAAATAATCAAAGAGTTCCGGCCTGCTTAACAAAATGGCTGCCGGGTCAAAGCAATAGAAAACATATTCTTTTTAACTATTAGACCGATTTTAATGAAACTATACAAAAAAGGTAGTTGGATAGATCGATATCAAATGATCAAATGGTTCCGGCCTGCTGATCAAAATTGCCGCAAGAGCAAAACATACAAACTTTTAAACGGCATTTTCTTCCTTTTCTCTTGGGTAGACTGTGATGAAACTATGCAACAATGGTCGTTTAATGGTCCTCTATAAAAGTTTTAATGATTCTGGTCTTTTGAATTAAATCCCCTCTGGTGGTAAAACAGAAGAAGTTTTAGATTTTTATTCTTGGATGACTTTCTTTAAAAATGAACAAATGGTAATTGTGTGATTAACAAGATGAACGTCAGAGACGTCTAATGCGTTCTCCTCTTTCGCAAATAGTTTAATAAAAATCACACCTCAAAGTATTCTAGACACCATTTGATTAGTGCAAATATACTTTGTGTAGAATCCATTACGTACACATATTCTGGAATGCATCAATTAAACAAATTTATTCGTTTAATACACTAACCCCTGCACACTAAAATTTGTTAAATCGATGTTTCTACCAATGCTTTAATAATGATAACTTGTTTGTTTGAATCATCTAGTCGAGCCACTAATGGCCATCATTGCCCTATTGTTTAACATATACATGTCAATTACTGATGGTGATTGTTAAATATATTACAAATATAAAATGACTTTTAAATTAAATTCATTTTCATACACATGAGAAAAATGTGTATAATATACATCTTTTTATGAAATAGGTGTGCATCAAGAGTTGGGATGCATCAAGGTCCTCAAATAATTACACTTGGGAAAAACTGCTTTAAGGTATTTTGTTACTTATTTTATAATAAAATAATTATGTAATAATATATAAACTTCAAAATGCAAAGTTTATTATGATCATACAATTAAGCAATAATTTAACGTCGAACAATCTAACTTACAATTTACTGATTGTTCAAGGTAAACACAGTTACCAGACCAGCTAAAAGTTTAAGTAAGCAACAAATTGAAGTCGTATCAATTGCAGCACTCAAATACTGTATTGATATGAAGTAGATATCATTAAAGCGTCCTGGACAAATTATGCAATGTATCTATTAAAGTTATTTGAAAAAACTTGAAAATACGCATAAATGATGTGACCCAAAACTAATGACAATTTTAAGATAGAAGCCTCTTAACAACTCAAAGGATATTTTGAGGAATTTTGTTAGATATATGGACCTTAGTCCTTTTACATGCAATTGGAAATGAAAGTGCAGAGACATTTTGTTATGATATAATCGACCCCTCAAACATATTTCGGTAATAGAACATTATTTGGAAGGTTTATGACAGTAATCTGTTGATGAAACGTAGCGTAGCTTGTCAGGAAACCTTATCTTATGAGGGAACATAAATGAATTATAAGTTTTCTATTCTTTATCTTGTTGCAATGCAGTATTATCAATAAACTTAATATGCACAATTTTATTTAATATGCAAAACATTTGTATGCAAAGTTAATGACAATCCGAAACACTGAAACACTGATGTACTAGCTAGTGCTACTAGTTGCTAGAGGAAACTGAAATAACATATTTATATTTTGTTAGACAATAGATTATTGCTTTGTTCCCTTTAACGTTTAATTTAATGGACATACTTTGAATTTGAGAGGCTCTTTGAGTTTGATTCTTAGTAGAATGTCACAATAAAAATACTATAAAACAAATCATCTATCTTAACATGCACAGATATCTTGTCAATTTATTACCTTTTAAGCTGTATATTGTAAGAATGTTTAATTATAAATATTTCTATAAATGCAACGTATTTATTGGTATGAACGTTCACAAATGCAACTTAATTGCTGAGGTTAATATTAAACATTATCACGAAAATGACTGAATTGTTAATGCCTGAGATAAAATGCAAATTAACAATGTAGCTAGACATTCTGACAAATGTTACTATGCGAGACTCAGAACTGGCGATATTTAAGTTAAAATTCAATTGCGATATTTTGTTACGACGTTCCATTTTGTAAGTTGAATGTGTTGAAATAGTGTTGAATTTTCAACGATGCAAAATACTACATGTGATTTTTATGCCTTTTAAGCCAAATATAGTTATTCATGAGATAGGACACGCCCTGGGATTCTACCATGAGCATACTCGTTGGGATAGGGATAAGTACATTAAAATACACTATGGAAATATTGAACCCGGACATAATAAAGATTTTGTTGAAGAGGAAGAAGAAAATGCAGATTTCGAGTATGAATATGATTATTTGAGTATTATGCACTACGGACAGTATGTAAGTGTTAATGTTTCATTTTACTTCATTCTTTATGATTGAATTATAGTAGATGATTCCGATGTTTATGTGACGTTTGTGTTCTTATGATGACGTCATCTTGCCCTTATGAATAAAGTAATAACTTTAAGAAATGTAAAATAGACATAAAAGTTTCCATTATCCTATTATATACACTACGGAAAGGAAAAATAATGAACCATTACCCGTCTTCATGGACGGAATGTCTAGCTCTCGAGGAACATTTTATCGGAAGCACACAAGAGACTCGTTACCGCCGCATTCAGTTATCTTTACGCTGGTATGTACAGGCAGTCGGGGTTAGATTCTTAGTCAACACAAGAAATAGTAAAATACCCAAAGGAACAACCGAGAGGAAATATGCCAGTTGATATTTACTTTCACCTCGACACCCCGTCTTATACATGTTATTTCATGAACGTAAAAGTATTTTACTACAAGATTGTCGATATATTGCAAACAAACATGCCATAGAGACACTACCTATATTTCAAACGCTTCTTATAAATATTGGGTTATGTTTTTGTTGTTTGTTTCTTTTCTTTCAATTACCGTTTGACTCTTGTCACAGTTTCGACTGTTTTTTCTGCACTTAGGTTTATTTATTTGACTTAATGACGAATAATGTCCATTGACACAGTATTCAACCAAATAGTTATTTCATGTTTAAGATAATAATTTGTTTTTTTATCAATGGACTTTTGTTGCATAAAAGACGAATACAAAGTACGCTATGTAAACTTTAACCAAATACTGTATGTATCTTTTTGTCTGAAGTATGTTTTTTTGTATTTATTCTTTTTTAAATGTACCAGTACATACATGTTTATTATGATATATCTTTATTACCGGTATGTTAACAAAATATCGTCACCCTAGTGCAGTAACGGGTTAACTACTTGTAAAATTTAACAGGAGTTAACCCGTTACTACACTCATGTGACGATATATCTTTATTTTATAATCATTCTTTGTAACGATGATGACATTATATACGTGATCATAAAAGAAAATCTCGGTTATTTTGTGTTTAAGTTTCACCATCTTTATTACAATAAACATTCAATGATTGATGAATTTTCAATTTATTATCTTTTGTTTCAGTTTTTCTCAAAGAATGTTTCAGGAAAACTTATTACAATAGAAACAACAGATCCTAAATTTCAATCTAGAATAGGGAAGGTCAAGCATCCGAGTTTTCAAGATTATAAAACTTTGAATGCTATGTATAAATGTGCAGGTAAGTATGTGTGGTTTCTGCTGTATTAAATGTAATAATCAAATTGAATGTGGAATACTTATAGTCATGTATATAAGCCTTCAACAGAGGAGAGGAAAAAATAAACATGTATATATGGTCTGCGTACTAAACACAATACACCACATCTTGTTAACTCCAAACAAGGCACTACAATTGAAACTGCAGTCTTGGCTACACTGTGTTATACTTCTGTTTCGACTGACTAGACTTGACTACTGACACAAATCATTACTGTCGTTTATGTGTTTCTATCAATTTACTATGACTTTTGTCCTTAGAGCAAGCTAAATAAAGCTAATCAAATTGATTTCTTTCGAAAAGAAGACCGCTCCAAGTAATTTATATCGTACTACAACTAATAAACTAATAATATTGTATACGCTAATAAACTTCATTTTATTTGTAGATATTTGTGCCCAAGTTGAATGTCCTAAAGATGGGTTTCTAGGAAAGCACTGCCAATGTTATTGCAAAGGAAATGCCGATGGCACACGTGTTAAACTTTGCTTTCAAAAAAGTATTTTATCATTATGTATTCGATAAAGAAATTATATAAATGTTTAAGAATTATTGCAAGCTCTGGTATGATACTGGCACTTACTAGTCACATTGAAGGTTCCATGATAACCACCATATGAACACATTTCCGGATGTTTCAAAATTCAACATTGTACCAGTTCACGTTAAATGTTGAATACTGCTTAAGCCGTTGTTAGGGGACGTGGACGGTAATTTGCACTTGACAGTACCGTTCATGAACAGGCTCAATCAAACCGAGCCTGGAACATTTTCAATTTTGCCGTGTTGGGCTTTTGTTAAGGATTTTATTTTTCTCTATTTTAACATATTTATAATATTCGTTATCGAAAAGAGATAAGCTTAGACACAACGATTTCAATTGGATCTATACTGGTTCTAATAATTCTTAATCAAAGACAAAATGATCATTAACTGTTTAATACGTGAATTGATATTGTGTGGTTTTTAAAAAAATCAACAAATAGCAATATCAATATACAATGCCGAATGATTAATAACGTTGGTTCTGTACAATTCTTAACAAATAATGATTTTTCCTTTAAGTACGCAAATACTATCTTGGTTTGATGGTTTTAACCCTTTTGTTTTAAACAATAATTGACAATGTCAAAATACAGTGTACTTATATTTCAGGAGAGTGCCCCAAACCATTTATCAATAAGTATTTATTTGATGTGTGGAACAAAGAAAATACAAGCTTAATTAATATGAATCGTCAATCGTTTCCTGACAAAACAGTTTTAAAACTTGTTTCAACCAACTGGAATTGCACAGTTGCCTCTCAGTTAAAATGTGATGGTAATAAATGGAAAAAAACAATGTCTAAATGTCCAATTGCACTTGGTAAGATAATATTTACGATTGTATATCATTTCTTTCTTAATGTCACACATTAAAATGATCTTTTATGATATTTGCACATATTCCTGGTCACATCCTTTTCAGATCGTCACTCTTTGCTGAAAATATAACTTATTTATTTCCCTTGAGGCTATTCACTATAAATAAATCAGAAATGTACGTTTAATGCAACATTCAACTACAAACACGTCAGGTAATGCGTATAAATAGACAAATGTTACCACTTCGAAATAAAGTAAGTATTTTTTTAAAACTTTTATTTAATCGAATGAAAGCAGTTATGAAGTTTTAAACTGTTCTATTAATTATGGAGACATTTTTTGTCAAAACACAATTCCATAACTTGTTAAATATTTCCAAGGGCGATCCCTCGGATCACAACAAAATAACATAAAAGATGCAGATTTGGTTTGATTGTGGAGTATGTACATGAAAGATAATGAAAAGGTGCATCATCCCTCCTGCCCCTTAATGCATGCTTGAGTATATTCAAGGGACAAGAAAAATCAAACAACACTGGAGTGAAGTACGATCAACTTTTTTTGGCTGTCGCACAACACTTGCTGTTACGAAGTATAAATAGTAAAATATCTATTTTCAAGTGTTTATGATCCAATATTTGCATATGAAATTTCCTCATATTGAATTTGTCAATTTTAGACATAAAAATGACTGATGGAAATGAAAACGTTGTTGAAGTTATCTTAAATGATGTGCATCGTGGTTATATCTGTGATGACGACTAGGATGATAATGATGCAACTGTTGCTTGTAAAATGCTTGGATATACGTAAGTTAACCAATATACATGTTTAAAGTAAGCACAAAAACAATCCACAAGACAAATTAATTATTTGATACCTACGATAAATATCGTCACCTTGGAGCAGAAAGTCGTGTTACTGACATTTTTTAAATAATTACTTTTTGTCATTATTTGATAAGAAATACATGGGTCACTAGTCTCTAAAGTTTGAAAGCTGAGTTTTGATACAATATGATCTTATATATGGCATAAAGATAATAAACGTAAATGCAGCTCCAGATTGTGAGTGTTCAAAAACTGTAGTACGTACACTTTTGAATTTACATAATATGTCAAAAAATACTTTGAAACGCGTTTTTGTTTAACTTTAAACACACAAAGCCTTGATACTTTACACCTTTATACTATGAAAGTAAAAGTTCAGAACACTAACGGTCTCATAGCATTCTAGTAACCAAAACTTATATAAAGAAAATGAATGAAAGATAAATAAAGATACCAACATATCATTCCAAGTAAATTAGTGTTTTGTAAATGTTTCTCCAGGCAAAATACCACTAATTTTTTTGCTGTTTGTGGCTGCTCATGCGCATACCATACTTTTTTCGTTTTTTAATTTTGGGAATCAGAAAAGTTGAATTTTTATTGTATAAAAATCTTTAAAATGGGTGATCCCTCAGAACCATTGAAACAACATAATATAAACACTGAAGACTCTGTTTGATTGGGTATGTTCAAACAAGATGATTGAAAAGTACTACATAGGAGCCTGACTGCATAAGCATGACTAAGTCTAAACTGGAAACGATTCTGAACCCCTCAGTCAGAAGCAAGTGAAAGCATGCTTTAGATCCCATTTAGAAATCCAACTGAAAATCTAGGATACCTAGATGGTTTAACCAAAATCTTAATTTGAATAGCAACTTAATCCCATCCAAATGTTGTGGATAAAAATTAAAAGTCCCTAGTGATTTTATTCGAAATCTCAATGTCTACATCCCCGTGTATGTCATCGTTCCCGAGTTTGGACATATTTGGGAGATAAAAAAATCCCAAGATTTCAGCAAATTGGAGACAAATTTGTAGCTGTCAAAACCTCTCCTTTATGATGCAGATCATTCACAATTATCAGGAGACTTAATCACTGTTTTTGCAGAAAGGGCAAAATTCCATATACTATTTTAATAGTGTTACTTGACAGGACGTTATTTGAAAGTTTACAAATTAATACTGGAGTATATAATTTTGCCATCAGTATTTGCCAGACAGTATTGACTATGTGTTGACTGTTACTTTAGAATGAGTTGTGAGTGACTACCGAAAAGCTATTTCAATAGCTTTAGGGCTTTTTTAGGGATTCTGGTTATCACTATTTAAATATTTTGGTTTTTTATTATTTTTTTCATTTATACGTTGTTTTTTTTATTGTATGAAATGCGGTTTCTAATACACAATGGCACATTTTAACCGTTTTAACAATTATTACAATATTTTAAGTTAATACCATCTACAGTCGGCATCGTACTTGCGGCCACCTTTATTAAGCGACTTTTTTATTAAGCGGCCGCATAAAATCCCTCCCGATGATTTTTACTATTTAATTTAATTCCATTAAACGACTATTTTATATCGCGGCCAGCGGCCACTGAATGTCGGCCAAAATGTACAAAATTAAGTGTTAAAGTATCTATTAAACGGCCGTGACAAACAATCGTCCCTGCGGGCATTCTCACCTGTGTAATTAGCGAGTAGGTTAGATGTGTACAAGCAAACAAACAAATAATTTTCATGGTCATTGCTCACAAATAATTGTCGTTTAAAAACGAAATGAATAACAATTGCAATCGTTTCAAAATCGGATTTTCCGATCGTAATATTTATTGTGACATATTTTGTCAGAGCAATAACGTATCACAACACCGCGTTTGCATAGTTTTGTCATGTGCTGAGAGTGACCTCCCTTATCGAAATAATGTCGGATCGAGCGAAAAAAAGACAGACAACTAATAAGACCGGATAAATTGTATGAGGAAATCGTGCATGGAATTGAGTCTGAGTAAATAGCAAATGTCATCGATTGTAGTCGAAATAAAATCGTGAAACCTAGTAGACTAAACATTACAGAGCCGAGCCTTTCATTGCTGATGGTGTAGGTGCTCATCTGATGCTTTACAAAATACATGTAGTATCCCATTAAATATGACCCTTCGACAAAAAAAGGCAAAAAAAATCCTAGATCTCTAAAAATCTTATTGAATTTGAAATTGGGGTAGTGTGAAAACTAATTGTTGAAAAAATCAAGAAGTTTATTAAAACTCATTGCATAAATAATTATCTGGAGCTCTGGCTGATGATTCTAAAGTATGTTCAGCAGGAGATGTGTATGAACATATTAAAAATATAAGACAATATGCTTTGTATCATGGTCAAAATGACCTGTTTACAGTATTATGAGCGTAAAACACATTTGTACACAAATTTCTACTAAAAATCAAAAACAAACAATATTGATGACTTTTTTTTTAAAAAAGACATAAATGTAATTATAAAACGGTAATACATACATAATATTGTATAGTTTTTGTTTTTATAAAAAAGATGTTATTATATCTATGACTTGTAATAAAAAGTCTCGAATTTTCCAGAATTCTATTGAGAGACCACTTTATTAAGAGGCCACTTTTTGGCAGTCCCTTGACTGGTCTCTTAATACAATGTCGACTGTATATGTTTATGTAATTCAGTACCTTGAATATTTGAAGTTAAAAAATGTGCAAAAACTAAGGTAACTGCACTTGTATTATAGTTAAGAGATCTTTCTGTTGATAATGTTTCAGAGTTAAATCGTATACCCACATGTGCAAAGTATGTAAACCGCAGTGCATGTATTAGTTATCCGCTATCCAGAGCATACTCGTTGATTGGCTGATTTTTTTTCCTGTTTTTTTTTAATGAAACGACAGGGAAAGGCATAACAAGAGAAAAGTTATATTTAGATGCTTGGTCATTTGTTACCTTGTTCAGGGGTTTCATATTGTGACACCAGGGAATGTTTTCTTTATTCTTGCCTATGGTACAAAAGAGAAAAGACACCAAAAGACTTAACAATCTGATTTATACTAGGGGCTGATATCCATCGCACAAATCAGATAGCCTCGTGTTTCGATGCTCTTTCTATTAATTACATCTCTTTTTGCAAAAATGTTCTATAAGTGGAAAGCAATGTCTTATTTCTTTTTATATATTATAACCTTCAAAGCCAATTTCATAATACAAATAAATAATTTATTTACATTTTTGTCTGGTAGAAAAAATGTTTACCTAAGATGACCAAATCAGTTTTTTGAGTCTCCTGTAAAATTGTGTCAGTTAAAGTTCTTTTTGCGCCAAGGCGACGATGTTTTTTGCAAAGAGACTATTAATAGTTTTTAGACAATAAGCTTATGTTTCATGTTTCTTGTTGAATAGTTGTTTAAACAATGTAATAAATAAGCAATAGTTATTGCATATGAAACAAGTATTCAAAAGTATAACACTGGCTAGAGCAACAGCGAGAATGATTTTTTCAGACACACCCAAAGATTCAGCTTCGGCAGTTTCATCGTTGGCCGCCTAGGCCGCTTATCATCTGCAATGCTCTTACTGCCCCTATTAAATTCAGCAGTCCATTTTTGTGCCCTCACTTTAGGGTGGGGCATTTAGATTGACCCTTGTCCGTCTGTCAGTCCATTCGTCCGTTTTTCCGACTGTCCGTCCGTCTGTTCTCTTTTGTGTCGCACGTAACTCAAAAAGTATTTGACCTACAATCATGACACTTTACTGGAATGTTGATAAGAATTTGTAGTTGTGCACCTGGGTAATTTTGAGTGGATTAATTTAGTATTTTTAGAGTTATTGCCTTTGATTTAGAAAAAATTTGCAATTTTCAACTTGTGTCGCATGTTACTCCATACAGATTTGACATAGAGTCACGAAACTTTACAAGAATGTTGATCAGCATGTGTAGTTGTGAACCTTGGGTATTTTTGTATGGATTAATATAGCATTTTTAGAGTTATTGTCCTTGACTTAGTTACCTCTCTGGTGTGGGTTCGATCCCCGGGAGATGCTTCGGTGTTTTAGCGCAATTGAAAGTAGTATAGTACTGGTCTAACTCTCCAGGAACGATGTATATCACTGACAAAACTGTTGGAAAAGGCGTAAAATGAACAAACAAACAAATTTACAAGAATGTTGGTCAGCATTAGTACATATGCACCTTGGGTTTGCTCGTGTATTTATTGAGTATCTGTAAAGTTCTTGCCCTTTAGTTAGTAAAAGATTTTTAGTTTTCAACTTGTGGCACATGTAGTCCAAAAGAATTGACATATCGGTGGCGTGCGGGGGCACCCGTGTCCTATGGACACATTTCTAGTTTCCTTGGGAGGCATCCCTCTCTTATAGAGGTACTTAATGACAGCTCTTATTTCAACTTTTTCAATTTGGTCTAAATGACACAACCCTCGACTGATCAAAGTGTGTTTTATGTTTCTTAATATGTGTTATACAGCGTGAATAAATCGGTCAGTAATCTTCAATTAGAAATCGGTATCGAAGTATTGTGTGTAAATGTCAATGTAGTGGCTAGAAGTATATCTAGCCGAGAACATTTTGATTTCATACCTCGTATATAAATTAGTCAGTTAGATGTTAACTTTGCATTAAGTTAGCAAATTCAATTGTCCAGTTGTTTTCGCAATTACAAACATGCATAAATGAACAAAATAAATAAATAAATAAATAAATAAATAAATTAATAAATTAATAAATTAATAACAAAACATTACCCTACTGTTTTAGGTCCTGTGTAAATTTATTACCGTTTTCAGTGGTATTTGTTCTGAGTGGATATCCTATTTTCGATTTCTGTTTTGGTATTGCATTGTTTTTCTTCATTCAGTGAAAATAACTCGATGTGGATATACCCTTCAATTCTAGGTCTTGTGAAATGTGGTACTTAATGCGTGACACTTTTGTTGATATAACAATAAATTAACATAATTGTGGGAATAAATTTCATTTCATTCATCTATGATTTTTTTCTCCTGGGAATGTTTGTTAATATTTCAACCTCTGTAAAAAGAAGAAAAAAAAAACTTGAATGATATATAGAAGTACAAAACATTTCACCCATTATATATCAGCCTTTTCGTAAACAGGAACATAGAGCACTGTTATTTACCCTTATTGATAGTGTACTGAGATAATGGGTTAGAAAGAACAAATAAACAATTCTAAACCATGCAAAAATTATAAATGCATGTTTTAGAAATCGGTATCGACGTATTGTGTGTAAATGTCAATGTAGTGGCTAGAAGTATATCGGGCCGAGAACATTTTGATTTCATACCTCGTATATAAATTAGTCAGTTAGATATTCGCATTAAGTGAGCAAATCAATTGTCCAGTTATTTTAACGTATATAATATTTCTCTTGAGAAATGGAATTGAAGAACAATTGGAGAATAACTGTGAGGATGGTTTTGTGACTTTAACATATTTGCTATTTTAAATTGATACTCTATTGTGTGTAAATGTGAAAGTTAATAACATAAATAAAAATTTGGAAAAAGGGTGAACACCTGGAAACAAAGATAAAAACAAAATTACATGCACATTGCATACTATAGGTAAATATCATGCTACACTAATGGGAAATCTTCTTTACTGTTCATTTGCCTGATTATGAAAGACAAATAAATACCAGTGTTTAAACAAAACATAAATCTGTTTATAAGAAAAGTGTTAACTCAGTGCACATTTTTACCAGGAAAGGTTTGGCTTTCTTTCCAAAAGCTAAAGAAGTTAACGAATCTTTACCTATTCTTCTTGACAACGTGCAATGTAGTGGCGAAGAATTTTCTCTTGCTGATTGCAAACATAATGGATGGGGTAATCATAACTGCTTATATTCAGAAGTCGCATCAGTGAAATGTTTCGGTAAGAAAACTCATTATTAGAAAAAGTATTTATAAGTAATTATCCATTGTGCACATTTATAAAATACATGTATTCACTTTACATGTGTAACATTAAGTTTGTCTTTTAAGGAAAAGATATATACAAAACTATTCAATTTGCTAAGCACAAAAAGTTTTAGCTGGAATTTATTCGACAATTATTTGACAACCGTCGCATTAATTTTAAATATATATACATATTGTTTAATCAATTTGATTGTAAAAACAATTAAACTGTTTACATATAATGCCCCAGTTATATGTAAGACATAGGAATAACTTGTAATAACTAGAATATTTGTACGGCAACCTGTTTCCCAAACTTCCAACCTCATGTATGTTTACTAGTAAACACTCAGTAGCATGTGCTTGGCAATGCCTTCTTATGATTCTTATGAGGTCCTAGCGGAGACCATGGTCTATCTTGAATCGACATGGCATACAGCTCATGGATGCTGATAGGTTGTACCTGGTGTTCAAATATCCTTACCTGTGGCTTATTCAACATGTGCTAAATTGGAATTGGGGTCCAGTGGTCTGACTTGTCAGTAACAATGCTCGATTCCTGCCCTTAAAAGTAGTCGTAACACCGGGTCCTATGGGCGCAGGTTGTTATAACTAGAAGATGACAATTATTGAAGTATTCGGTTAATTTGAATTAAGGTTATTTACGTAATGTCACAATAAACAAGGAACAAACGGCAAAAATTATGAAATTAACTAGTTAAATACTTTTACTATAATATTTTTTATAAATATTAATATTTATTGATTTTTTAAAAGGCATAGGCTTGTACGTATGCCAATGTGACGGCAAGTTTAGTAGGCCATAATGATCTGTTAACACATTTCTTGTTGTTAAGTATAATATGATGTAAGACATGACACTAGATTATTTCCGTTTCATTTCTCATGAAATTTAAAAATCTGAATACACTATTACACAATCAGTAATGTTCTTCAAATATTGTTATTGTGATATTTCAATTATAGCTAACAGCCGGGTTCTTTATACGTTATTAGCCGCGTCTGATCCAAATGGTTTTGTCGGAAGAACTGCTGTTCGTAATTTGTTTTTTACATAATGAATTTTGTTTCCTGTTCGGAGAAATATTTTTTTTCTTTCGTGCTTATAAACTTTAGGTAAAATTAAATTGCATAATTCCAAGAGAAAAAAACGACATATAAGGGTAACTGGTGGCTTGGAGACAAAAAAGGGTATGCATCCATGGCAAGTGAATATTGAACGATGGAAACGAGGATGGCATCATTGGTGTGGTGGTACAATTATCAATAACGAGTGGATATTGAGTGCTGCACATTGTTTTGAGTATTTCTTTTATGCAAACATAAATAATAATTATTCATTTTATTTCATCTTTTTATATTTGAGAACTTTATCGCAATAACACTATCAGATGATATTCAATATTGGTTATCAAACTTTATTCACTTTAAATAAAAGTCTTGTTTTTTTATTTATTTTTCAAAAATCATTTGAATGCATACCTTTGACAGAGATATTGACCAAGTTTTGGTGAGGATTATTTAAACAAATGCCAATATTTTCATATTATTACATAAACATAAGAATGAATATGTATAAAACGTAATACTTTACATATCAAAAGAAAGAGCAGTAAGCGCTTTAAGTAAATAAGTTACGTTTACTGTTTTGATTTTAGTGATTTTGTAAGGAGATACGATGATTCGAGAGCTAAATTAAATATAACGGACTTAAGGGTTACTGTTGGAAACCATGATCTAAAAAAACATGATGAATATGAAAAGATGTTTAACGTTGAATATATTGTGAAACACTGGAATTACAGTGGTATGTATTTGTATGGTATCAATTAAACATTTATATAAGCTTGTTCTAGCAAATGTGTTTTTCTTTTAAGCATGTTAAAGAATTTGTCATAGTACACTGATATTACAGTGGCCTGTAGTTGTGTATTTATTGTTACAATATGTATAGTAAGTTAAGAGCATAACGGATATTTATATTGATATACACAGTTAATCAATCTTCATCTATGAACATGCAATTATGTTTTCACTGCAAGACAGTTTATTTTATTAGTTTGATTGGTAAACTGTTATGCAATAACGCACTAAATTCCTTCAAGGGTGGTTAATTTATTGAAACAATTTTATATTATAGACAGGGGTAGTTGTCCTCTAATATTATTTTCATTTTCTTATCGCACATTTGTGGATAATCTTCAAATCAGCTTTATATCCATTTACACATACTTAAATCTTTGCTTAAATTGTTGATCAAAGTTCGGAGAATTCATTACAGATTTCCAAAGAAGCTACACTAACAACGATATAGCATTGCTCAAAGTAAAATCAACCAGTGGCATTACATTCAATGACTATATACAGCCAGCGTGTTTGCCAGAAGATTTGACTCTGCTTCTATCTGAAATAAAATGCCAAGTGTCCGGCTGGGGGAAAGACAATTTCCATGGTATTAATTTATTAATTCTTCTTGTTACTGTTATGAAAAGAATTATGTTGTTAGGGATATCATTCATTATTGTATCCTTAAGTTCAGCAAATTGGCTACAAATATAAATACATTATGTGTGAAAATATCAAAAATATTGTATATGTACTGACTCAAACCGAGTTTGCAATTTTCATGTAATTTTGTTGTGATTAATGCTTCCGAGGGCTCTTTTTTCAGATTTTTTATGAGTAAAATAAGAAACTTGAATCAGTTGTTTTGTAAACAAGAATTACAAAAATAGGAATTTTAACTTGAACATTTAAATTTATTTTTGTCACAGGTGAAATATCATACAAATTAAAGGCAGTGGAGGTACCGATCATTCCAGGTGACGTTTGTCAAAGTAACTACAACAAATATTCCATTGATTTTGAAAATGTGATATGTGCCGGTGATACCACAGCTGATACATGCCAGGGGGACTCTGGAGGACCTCTCATTTGTAATATCAACGGTCTTAGTACGGTAATTGGCATAACTTCCTGGGGTGAGGGCTGTAGTCAAAATGATTCCCCTGGTGTTTACACGAAGGTTTCGGCGTATATAAAATGGATACATGAACAGATTTCCAACCACAGATTAGAAGGTATTGTTGATTACCTTTAAAAGAAATTGTCTTACGTAACATACTGAAATAGTAAGTGGTTGTCTAGAAGGACCTGTATACGTATGTTATGTAATATACACCGGGTAAATATTGTTTTGTATGGATAAATGGATTGGCGCCGGTGTAACCACTTATGTTTAAGTTTGCGTACCTCCTCATACATTTCTTTAGCCAATAGAAATTTGACTTTGGCACTGTGCACAATTGTTTAGCATAATGATCTCGACCTGTACACGTATGGATGGTGGTAATTCTATCAATCATTTTACAGATGTATGCCCTTTTCCGATTTAGAATTTACGTTAAAGTTTGCGTACCACCTCAAATATTATATATAATAATAATTTCTTTGAAATCTAGATTTAAATCATTGAATCATTGTACAATTGTTCACGATAATGCCCCTAATATGTAAAATGAAGGAGGCCACTGCATCAAGTTTTCCGGCAGAATAATTCCCCTTTTTCAACTAAAAATCTACAACAACTACTAACTTTTTACTGTCCGGCGATTTGGTAGCTACGCAACCTCATCGTGTTGTTTTCTGTGACACAGATTGAGAAAATGTTATAATGCAGAAACATGTGTTATTTAAAAAAAGTTTTATCACAATGAAAATATTTTATAATAGTACAAGTATGCTATTGTACGAGTCAGTATGTTTATAACAGCTGATGGGTCCAATCTAAGAGAGGAAACTCTTCAATGTTCGTCTACAGTTATTGATTTTAGGAGAGAATCAGTCAGGGTTTTTTTTTCTCCCTTGTTTATTTCATGATACTCATCAAGATTTATTTTAAGTTCTATGTGACCTTTTAAGTTGTTTAAATCAGTAAGTAAATGTTTTGTCTTGTGCACAATTGTTTACCTTTTTTGTTAGTAACTAGAAATATTAAAGTGATAATACAAATTTCTGTCAAATTTTATATGATTAACATTAAATTTGTGTACCGATTGTGATTAGCAATATAAATCAGTAACAAGTTTGTCGTCAGATTTTGTACAATCAATACATGGTCCATTATAGACAACAGAAATTACATATAACAAGTTAAAATTTGCAGAACTAGCTCCTATTTTGTTGGTAACAGGGTAGAAATTTGGTGATTTAACAGTAAATTCTGCTACATTGTACACACTTTTATTATATATCAACCTTCGAATAATTTTCCTTTGTGAAAATTATTATTGTTATCTGAAGTATGGATCTTTTTTTTTTAATTTATTTTATGCATTATTTGGGGCTCTTCTAAAGTAAATATATGTAGGTTTATTTATCACATGTAGAAACATAAAAGATTGTCAGTATCACTACAGTAAACAACATAAATCTAAAGAAAATTACATTATATTTTATATCATTTATTACTTAGATATATTAATAAATTATCTTTCATTACTAAGCTTTATAAATAAACTATATTATATTACTCAGGTCTATGTATAGACAATAATATAATGCTCAAGGGGGAGGAACATGTACAAGATTTTCAAACATGGCACTTGTCATTGACTTCTATTGACTGTCAATTCTGTTTTGATTTTTTTCGTATCTTATGGCGTTCTTATGTTAAAGTTGCAACGCCCTTAATGCACATATTGACTAGAGTGGAAAAAGGAAAATTGGCACTGAGCAATAGAAATCGCATTTTTTAATCTCTAAATACGACTCACTAAGTAACCTTGAATATATCATTTTGCTTTAATTAACCACGTTATTCTGTTAAAAGTTGCAATTCTTTATAGCGTCCTGTCATCAACGGTTAAGACAAATCGGAAACGACAATATAACAAATTATGAGAAAAATTAATGGCTACATACATTTCCACAAAAGTATGAGTGCTAAAACTGAAAGTTCAAATTTTTTCCAACATTCAGGAAAGATAAGTTTGTCCAAACTCATTGAACCACGACCAAAATCAAACTTAAACTGCTTATTCCTAAGATGAATCTATATTATTTTCAAAGTGAAACGGACATAACTCTGCCAAAAAAATCATCGAACCATGACCAAAACCCAACTTGACCTGCCCATTCCTTTGACATATCCATATGTCAAATTTGAGTTGAATATGTAACACTGTTGGGTAGATAATGAACAGAAACTGTAAATTTCATATTATTTTCAAAGTGAAAGGGGCATTTCTCTGCCAAAAATTATTAAACCATGACCAAATTCGAACTTGGCCTGGGCATTCCAAAAACAAATCCATATGTCAAATTTGAGTAGAATGTGTTGTATCATTGGGGAGATAATAAACAGAAACTGAAAATTCCATATAATTTTCAAAGTGAAAGGGGAATAACTCTGCCAAAACTTTCAACCACGACCAAATTTAAACTTGACCTGCGCGTTCCTTTGACGTATCCATATGTCAAGTTTGAGTTGAATGTGTTGTACTGTTAGGGAGATAATGAACGGAAACTGAACATTTCATATTATTTTCAAAGTAAAAGGGGCATAACTCTGCCAAAAATCATCGAACTATTACCAAATTCGAACTTGACCTGTATTTTTTTCATGACATATCCATATGTCAAGTTTGAGTTGAATGTGTTGTACAATTGGGGTGATAATGAACGGAAACTGGAAATTTCATATTATTTTCAAAGTAAAAGGGGCATAACTCATAACTCTGCCAAAAATCATCAAACCATGACCAAATTCGAATTTGACCTGTATTTTCTCATGACATATCCATATATGAAATTTGAGTTGAATGTGTGCAACCGTTACTAAGAAAATGAACGGAAACTGATGATGACGGAATGACAGAATGACGGAAGGACGTAATAACGGAACGGGGTAACACTATATGACCCGGCCATTACATGGCGGGGCAAAAAAATGTAAAACACTTTTAAGTCTGTTTGATATACTACCTGAGGCTTATTTATAAAGTAATTGGTCTCCAGTTTTTTTAATGCTTAGGTTTATTAGTCGACTACCGGTTTACCAGAGGGGACTTAAGGTTTACCCTCCGTTTGTCTGTCAGTCCGTCTGTTCATCCGTCTGTCAGTTCGTCAGTATGTCCACAAAACTGGATCCCGCGATAACGCAAAAACTACTGAAAATATATTTATGAAACTTGATATATGGATAGATGGCAGTATGGAAATTATGCACCCCTTTATTTTTGTTCCTATGTTTAAAATTGTGGTTGCTATGGCAACAAATATACTGAAAATATGGCAAATTTTATACATAAACTGGATCATCCAGTAGGAAGGCAAAACATACTGGAAATATTTTATGAAACTTGAAATATGGGTAGATGGCAGTCTGGAAATCATGTACATCATTTTCTTTTCTTCCTATGTTTAAAATTCTGGTTGCTATGACAACAAATAGACTGAAAATATGGCAAAGTTAACACATAAACTGGATCTAGTGATAATGCAAAAACTACTAAAAATATTTTTTTGAAACTAAAAATATGGGTAGATGGTAGTATGGTGATTATGCATGTCTTTTTCTTTCTTTTCACCTATTTTGAAAAAAATGGTTGCCATGGCAACAAATAGGTTTAAAACGTGGCAAATATAACAATCATGGTGATTTGTCAAAAAAGCTCAAATTTGTTTTGAAACTTAAAATATTGATAGATGGTAGTTTGAAATTATACACATCATTTTAATCTAGACTTTAAGGAGTATATTAAGAGCTGTCATGCTTAACAAACGACGGTTACCTCGTCAAGATTTCTGATTCTAGTTTTAAGGCTTTTTTACTAGATATTCTTTATTTCTTAAGGTATTTATTTTAAACTTCTAACATAAGTTTCTGGTCATCAACCACATTGCATATGTGACAAAGTCTAGCACAAACATTATCATAATTGCCTCCCTTGAACTAACATGAAAAAAATATTGTTTTCTTAATAACTTCTTAATTTCTTAATGTATCTTCTTCAAACTTCTTATTATCACTCAAATCATTTGTGTAAAGGTCCATTACTCTAGAAAGACTATTTCCAGAATTATATCCCCCTTAAACTTAGATTTTGTTCGATTTCGAGAAATTAGTATAATTTACTCCAATTTCTTCATTACTTATAGGATTTACTTCAAACTCCAACATCATAATACATTGTAATATGACAAGGTTTATAAATATGGCATCCTTATTTCCAGAATTATCTCCTCCCTCCTTAAACTTTGAGGTTTTTCTTATTCAGTCTTTTAACTTTCTTATACTTTAAATCCAAAATAAACATTAATTATGAACAGCTTTATTACTTATTGTTCTTTGTGACATTCACATCATGAATGACATCTTGGATCTTTTTTTCAAGAGTTATCTCCTCTTTAAAAATTTTGCTTTTAAAAATGTTATTTTTGGTAACAGGCCTTGATGAAAATAACTTAAGAGTGTTCTTTAGTCTGTCTGTTCATAAAAACTGTTTCCTGTGATCACTTTTAACGATTTTTTTTTCAAATTTAGAAAAATTGAAATATAAGTGAATGGCAATGGCCAATAGCCCTTCAGAATGTTGCTGGGGTTCTAACTGGTTGGGGACTTATGGATTGTTTTCAATACTATGATAATTGCTTTTTTTTGAGATGCATTTAATTGTCCCTCATTTTTGATTTCTAGAAATTGAAGTATACTTTGATGCATAATTAATATCTTTTACCACAAATTGTCCATTTTTATTAGACTTCATCATGTTAAAGGAGACCTTCAAGCTGAGCCAATTCATTATCAGACAACATATTTATATCATAATTTCTCAAATCAATATCAAAATTACTATCATTTAAAGTTACATTTCTGTAGAATTTTCATAATGAGCACTAGTTTCTGTAAGTATATCCTTTTGATAATAAATTAAAGTGCCATCATCAAGTTCCAGAAAAGGTATTGACTAAGCTAAACAATGCGTTTTTCTTTCTTTCTAAATCAAAAAAAAATAATCAATAGGTTTTCTCAAGATTCAATTCAATCCATTGTCACTTTGACCTAATCGAAGCGCCCTTTATTATATTGTTTATTCATTCAGTCAACTCTTTTTGTTAATGTAGAAGTTTTTTTATTATCATTTGTCAAGTTTTTTTTCCCTAGAAAATTAATTTCTTCAAATAACATTTTTTTCGCGTGTAGTTCTTTCTTTAGTTTTAAACGAGCTATAAGAAATTGAATTTTCCCAAATTTTTATTAAAAGTGTGATAAAATGTTCATACCTAATACCAAAGTCTATAAGTTCTGAAACTTTGTTTGAATACCGTTTGTTTCAGGTCGTTGACTACCAACCACTTGTCTCTCACCGTGAGTTAGAATCCTGTCATTGACTTTCGGTTCTTTCTAAAGGGGAAGCTATCCGACTAGATTACAAAGCTACGGTGGTTTTACACAAGTGACCGTTCGCGGTTGCACCTTTGTTTTTTCTCTGTAAACTGCAAGACCTTGTTCTCTTTGTTTCAGTAACTTCAGGATGCAAACTTTCTGCAGACAGACGATACATGTTTTTCAACATGGATGGAGTAGAACAAATGCCGGGAGATCATGTATGTATATTTAATTTATTAAAAGTGATAATGTTTTATTACTTCAATAAACATCATCAAACATTGATTATTGTATCATTGGAAGATTGGAAAATACAATGATTTGTTCGTATGTTACCATTTTTCTGTTTGACAACGTTTGTTAGCGTACCATTTTAATATGTTGTTCTACTTCTGAAGATTCTTGGTGATGTACGTAAGGATTAAACAATTATATCAATTTATAACAGTTACACTGAAATAATTATATTCTTCCCACAGTTTCAACATGAGTAGAGACGTTGGTTTTGCTTAAATCTGTCGGTACCCCAAGACCTGGTCCTAAAAATATTCTTGTTATTTTATCATGAAACCTAAAATCGAAATGCAAAGCAATATGAAATTACAAAAAAAAACATAATTATGTAAGGTGTGTTCTTTAACTACAAATCAAAATTCGAAAAAAAAAACACCTGATTTTGCGCTAATTTGTATGGTAGTTTTACGAAAATTTAACAGGGAAATACTTTAATCACAAAGTTGAGAGTATGTATTTCTCTTTAATATTTTGATACACATTGGTAATATCGTTCCATTGGATTAAAATACGACACATGTGCATACATGTGATTTTATGGAAACTGGAATAACTTTATTAAAATTCATGCATAAAATGTATCCAATTGACAGTATAGATAAATATCATCACAAGTATATCCCTATTTCCGGAAAATTTGCGGATATAGAAACAAAAATATAAGAAATTGACATTTCATAAAACTTGCAATATAGATAAATGACACATGAAAATTATGCTTTTTTATTTTTACAGCTTTGTCTGTGGTAGGCCGTCTTAATAACATTTGAGTTGATTATAATCAACTGATATTTTATGCGTTCAGTGCATACGCATATTTTATTACTCGGGAAAACATTTTCTTTGTATTGTAATTGCACAGAATTGACACACCAAATGCCCAATTATGTCAGTCTTACGAATACATGTTTAACTCGAAACAAAAAGCATAATATCGCGATTCAAAGTGTGACAGAATACCAATACACAAATTAGGAGCAAACTATTACATTAACGTATAAGATACTGTTGCCAAAAAAGTATTATTCTAACACACTTAAAAAGGACATGACTTCTTATCAGGAGATGCGCCATTTTACCCGATCAGGTGATACTATCATTAAATTAACAGGTACTTACACCATGATAAGATTTACCTATATCTGATTAGGAAACACAATCACGTTATTAGGAGACATTGTCACGTTATAAGGAGATACTGTCACGTTTTTAGGAGATACTGTCACGTTTATAGGAGATACTGTCACGTTAAGGGACAAAATCTGCAAAAATGCATAATAATAACTTAAGGGATATAAATAAGTCGTAATCAGATTATAGTATACTTTATCCGGATGATAGCTATTACCTAATAAGATAATAGTTTCATATTTTATGTTTTATGTATTTTATCTTAATAAGTGGGCACTATCTTTTTATTTAGATTTAGTCACAATCATTTGTGATATTAAACTGACCTTAGAAAGCTTTTTTTTTCGTTTTGGGCAGTCCGCGGTTTAACGCATTTGTTTAGCGCTATATTGTTCATAACGTCTTATCTTTAAATAATAACGTATTTTGGTTTCACGTTTCTTCGGGTTGTAACTCCTTTTGCACTCTATTTATTCAAAGAGATTCATACACGAGAAGGGCAGGAAGGTAATAACCGGCCCGCAAAAGGAATAATAGCCACAATGGCTGAAGCATGAGATTAACGTCCTAAATATAGGACAACAATAACAAATGTAAAGGTACAGTTAGATGGAACCAAAACAGAATGAAAGGTGAAATCAAAATGAAAGGGGCGTGAACCATAGGGCAAACGTAACTCGACATACACGTGACACAAATAATGTAATTATGTACATTCTGAAATATAATACAGATAAATGAAACATCTGAGGAATCTGAGAACAACATAACACCAAAGCTGAATTGGTGTAGAAGAATTGTTGAAAAGCATATATACGTTTGAGACTTTAGGTGTCGAGAATAGTTTCTTTCATATTAACCTTCAAACAATAGTTTTTTTCGTATTTCGACAGATTGCTGTTGGGGACACTTTGACGGTGAAATGTAGATTCATTGACATGTACTCATATATGACATATGAATATTATTACGATGACTACGGTAATTACAATGATACTGATATCGCTGCTGATGTTATAACAATTTCATGCAAGTATGATAACAAAATGACGAAAATACATAAAGAATGTCCTGAAGGTATGTCTTAACTGAAAATATGTTTATTTAGACATGTAAGTGAGTCAGAAAAGTTTTAAGGTATTAAATTTTGATGTTCTTTCTTAACATAATGCAGCATGAAATTGTATCTACAATAATAAAATAAGTTTGCATGATTTTTGATTACCTGAACATGGATGACTAAAATAGGAAATCATTGCATAACGTTATTCACTAGCAGGCCTCACAGTAAATCCATTACCATTGCTTGCTTATCAGTGTGATAGCTTCCGAATCTATGTAAATTTATTTGTAATGGTTAATTGTGAATACGAAGATAATTTATTTAGCCATAATGGTGAGTTGTTTCCACCATAAACAATGTTGCACATTGTGTGTGTGTGTGTGTGTGTGTGTGTGTGTGCGTGCGTGCGTGCGTGTGTGTGTGTGTGTGTGTGTGTGTGTGTGCGTGTGTGTGTTTGTGTGTGTGTGTGTGTATGTGTGTGTGTGCGCGCGCGTGCGTTGGTGCGTGCGCGAGTGTGTATTTTTCTTTTCTTTTCATTTTGGTTGTTATTTTTGTTATTGTTTGCTTTTTTCATGTATATTTCCAAACGACATTATTTAAAAAAAAGGTATTATTAGAATGATTTGTTTTGTATTTTAGCGCCAAAATATGACGGATGTTTGAAGATTGATAACGGAAATGTAACTATATCAAACAACTTCTACGTTGTGTCCTGTGATAAGGGATTTTCATTAGATATTTTTGAGCCAGAAGAAAAAAGGAGCAATTGTATAAACGGCGAATTAAAAAGTGTAATTGGAGGTCAGGAACCTAAATGTATTCCAGGTACATTTGATATGTATTATTGTGGGAGGTCATCTTATCAATCTTTTTTTTTCTTATAAAGATTTTGACTATATTTCAAGAACCATAGAAAGGAGATTATCAATCTGTTTACAATTTTAAGAAACAATTACATTCTGTGGATGTGATAATAGCAAAAGTTCAAATTGAGGTTTTAAGTTATGTTTATATTCAAATAAATAATGTCGGTATACATAATAATTTTCTGCTCGATGATTTTAACATATTTGATATTTTTGTTTGTTGTACAGGCACCACATTAAACGAAGTATCATGTCAAATGTTAAAGCTTTATCGTAAAATCATTTTGACTCTAGTAGAAATAAGATCATTAAATAATGGTTTCATCACATCGTTTTTGCAGATCGTTGTAAAATACCGTATGACTTTGATACATTTCTGTCAATAACTGACAGATTTCATGTCTATATCTCTGGAGGTTCTGTTGTTGAGCTGGGGGACTTTGTTTACTTCAACTGTTCAAAGCCAGGAGATGATATACACGAACCTGTGAATAGAAGATTCAAGTGTATAAACGGCCAGTGGATTGAGGATGAAAGAAATAAATTATGGAAGTTGGGAAACTACGGGAATTTTCCAAAATGTAGAAAAAGTAAACATTTTCTCGATTTAAACACTTATTTTTACTTAACATATCTAAGGGCATTTTTTTGCACATCTATCTAACAATTTTGCATTTTGTGTTTGGCAAACATTTATCAATCTTGATATTGTGGAATAATGCATGGTTCGAGTTCTCAAGATATTTTGATATCGTTATACATTCTAGCATGCTTGTCGAAAATATGTTTAACTACATTCAATAGTTTTCATTACGTCATTTTGTTAACTGACGTCACATCTTACATGGTATGACTTGTAAAGATCCATGATTTAATTAAATGCATATATCGTATAATTGCATACTCAACAGTCCTGTACATATATCACTTGGGTGCACTGTGAAGCGAAACGACACGTAGATATAAAGGTTTACTGATACCAAGCTTCAAGAGGAATAAACATCACACAACTGCCAATGTTGATCTCTAAATATTATATAGACTATTCGTAGATAAGTTAATAAATCAACATGAACAAAACGTTATGCTGAAAAGTAGTACATAATTACTGTATCACAAATGCTATTTTACACAAAGGTGTATCCGGGTTTTTTTTCCTATTACCCTCGGCTTTAATTTAAAGCACACGTTTTGCTTACAGTAATCCTTTATAACCACATATCAGCTAAGGTTTCGTTTAAAACCGCATTAGCGACTCGGGATTAATGCAGTAGTATGTCATAATTGTTTAAGATATATTTGTTCTTAACCAGAAATATTACTTGGTTTCGACTTTAAAATACTAATCAATAATACTAATGTTACTAACACGTTTTATTCGTTTAGCCAATATTATGACAAATGATTATTCTCTTGTACAATGGTTTAAGACATTTAACTTTCCATGATTTAAATATCACACTTGATAATCGTAATGAAAATAATCAAACTACTAGGGGCGTGGACAGTAACTTTCACCTTCCATTACCGTCCATGAACAGGCTAAATCAAACCGAGCATGTACTGTTATTAATTGTATCTTGTTGGCCTTTCTTTAAGGATGCTTTATTTCTCTATATGGCATAGTTTAAAAATATCTTAATAACTATATGCACAGCTTGTCTAACTGACAAGTTTACAAGCTTTTTTATGTCACCTGCAAGCAATATGACCCCGTCAATTTAAGGGTAAAAAGGTTAAAAATGAAGGGCATTCTTTAAAATATATAAGAACACGCTTCTATATTTGGTCAGGAAATATAAATAACGGATCAAAATAACAAAACATACACATATATTTAACAATATTTGCTGCTTATAAAGGCAGCTGTTTTAATCTAATGTAATGTTTTATTAAAACGTACTTTGATGTATTAAGCAATATGTGAACCGGTGTGTCAAAATGGAGGTGTTTGCTGGAGGGATGATCGATGTAATTGCAAGCATTTAACATATGGAAAACGTTGTGAAAACGGTAATTATAACTTTATTGTAAAACGAATATTTAGATCTTGACGTACACTGTATCAGGTATTGCGTATGATATTACTTAATTGACCTTAAGATTAAGATACCACTTTGATACTGAAATGCTTAAAAGAACTGTTTTGTAACACAAATAAAGGGTTTTTCATAATGCTAGCATGTCATGTAAACGATACTCCTGTAGTTTCGATTGAAAAAAAATAGTTATGTTTCATAATTGTTTTATCTCGAAACAATCGATATTTTGATTCACTTGTAACTCTTATTTTGTAAACCATATTCACAAGAATTATGTTTTGTCATGTATTATAAAATATACTCGTAGTTATATGTGACGATAAATGCTATGCTAATAATGGCGAATGCGTTGGTCCTGGAAAATGCAAATGCCCAGAGGGGAAATTTGGAAATAACTGTGGACTTAGTAAGTACATATAACGAGAATGTAGTAACAGCTAAATTCTATTATAGAATATAGTGAAAGATGATTTACGAAAGTGTAATAGTATCGAATGAGAGAGGAGTTATAATGCTGATCAAAAGGCGTGAAACGCGAAAAAATGCTTAGTGTGTGAAGGAATCGCAAAATAACACGAATAAACGCATTATAACGGGAAACAACATGGGTAATAACGCTAAAAAATGCATTATATCAGAAAGGCATAGTTACACGAAACAAAAGGCGTTATAATGTTAATTTGATACCATATCAATGCTTATCAACTGACCTCATAACATAAGAAAGGAAGAACAATTTAATCTTAATTACTTGCTCAAGATACATGTATATAAGCCTGACATTTTAAATTATATACGGGTACGTCATATTGTCTGAATTTATATATCTTATTAGGAAATACTTACCCAGTTAGAAGTTAAGTATCATCTACTTATAAGATATTTCAATCTGACTTGAATAGTCCATACGTTTAAGCATTTATGTAATACAATATTGCATTAACTGTGGCATTATAATTAAATAATAAACTCTAAACTTAACTATGACCTTTTAGTAATATTTAGTTAATAAATAATTACATGTTTGTATTACTTTATAATATGATAGTATCTTCTAATTAGTAATTACGTGATTTTGTCTACGGCTAAGGCTACAGGTTAGTCATATCAGTGTGAACGTTAAAATCTTAAATATGTGATAGTTACGCCTAAAAAAGTGACAGAGTTTAAGTAAAGTCATAATAAGGAGACATTACCTTCTTTCTAAGTTAAGGACTGTTCAAATTTGGTAATGTTTTAGCTAGGTTGGTGATTGTAACTCCTAATAAAAGACAAAAATCAGATTTGGACATATCCGTAGATACTTTTCGAGCAATTAATACAGATCAGTATTGTTCTTTCCTTTACTGTTACATTAATTTGTTTGAATTTTTGCAATTTATAATTTTTTTTTAGTTATGCGGTTTGGACGAATATCCGCCCCCAGGGACCCCCCCATTGACAAAAAAAAAAGGGCTCTTTTTAATTCCCAATCCAAACCCGAAAACTAGATAATTCTTGCAATTCTACAAAATTCCATTTCATTTTAAATTCTATACATTTCTAAAATTCTATTTTATAAAAGAGTTTCCATGGATATTTATGTCATTACATCCGTAACTATTTTGTTAAATCAGCGTATGAAATTACAAAACTGTATCCATAACGGCAAGAGTGCGTCATCCTAAGCACATCATTGTATAGCACACGACTTATCAGGCTACCCCATACCCCGCTTTATGAAATTTTGGATGATTTCCGGCCATTCTGACATCAAAAAAAATATATATTGGTTCACGTTATTCTAGTAACGTTTTGTTTGGCATTATTACGCCTCTTGGTTCGCTTAATAACGTACTTATTCGCTTTTTATAGCATTTTGTGTCAGGAAATAATGTTTTTCGATTCCCGTATTACGCCGTTTGCTTTTTTTTTCAGTGTAACGCTTTAATAAGCGTTATTATGCGCCTTATATGCGTCACTTCGACTGTTGATTCTTGTTATTACGCCTTTTGATTGGCATTATTACGCTGGTTCAACTTTTTTATTATATTAATTTGAAAGCTGTAGTTCGTTCGAATACATTATGAATGAATCTGTAAATATCCAATATTTTTTTATTGAAATTATTTTCGGCTAGGCTATCATGACATGCGATGTTTACATCTTCGTCCGCTTGTCTGATATTCATTTACCAGTGTATGATTTTGATGAGTTAGGAAAAATGTTTTGATAGTTGAAAAGTGTGATACCTTTAATATGCACTTTAGAATACGAATAAATTGAAAACAAACTATTTAGATATGATAAATGTATAAAGAATTATATTTTTCTCTTTGGATTGAAATCGATATCTGAAATATTTATTTATAACATTAACATAGGTGCCTGTAGACTTCCTGACATTGAAAATATGGCAAAGTTAAACATCCGAAGAACCTATTATGGTACTGGCGAAACAGTTCGCGATTTCACGTGTAGTCTTGGATATTTTTTATCATCCGATGAGGGAATGACATGCCAGAATAATGGAGAATGGTCCGATGTTATAACGTGTGTAAAAGGTTAAGTGCAAATATTTATATATGCTATATAAGATATATCTTATAAATAACAGATATTGTAAAAGAAAAAAAAACTTCAAAGAAAACTGCAAGTGTTTCATTCTTTTTTCTCGCTCATAACATATACATAAATGATATTTCAAAAAGAAATAACGCCAACTGCAGTTTATTTTCAACACTATTGTCTAAGATTGTTCATAGATGTGTATGAATTAAAAACTTCATTCATTACGCCGAAATGAAGTCATTCTAAACTCGCAGTTCATTACGTGCGAGGGGTTAATATGTGTAATATTTGTTTGGTAAGGGAATAAAAAAACTCGTTTCTGAGGTTGTTTTGGACTGTACAAAAGAATGAAAGATAAATTTGTCTTTTATCGGTTTATTTGCTGTATTTTGCACTGATAAATTCTTTGATTAGGGATGTAGTTGGATTTATAAACCAATGGTCAATGGCATTGAAATAACAATCGCGAACTCTGCCATAATAACACGTTAATAATTTTTTTTTATTTTACGATTTTAAATAACACTTATTGACCATATTGTGACAACATTTGTAACGTATTCAATGACGCTGTAGAATTTTTCAAAAACTCATTGTTTCTTAAAAGAATGTTATATTTCATTTAAAGTTAATAACCAAATTTGTTTGGCTTCGAGATAATCATGAATTTCCATTTTTAATAGGGATATATTATCTAATCAGAGCGAAAACTGGAACACGTACCGGTGCCGGTACAGATGCTAATGTATACATCATTTTGTTCGGATCTGGAGGAAGTACAAGAAGAATAGACTTTCGGGGGAAATTTGAATCTGGCGATGTCGATGAGATAATAGAATTTGCCAAAGATATACGTCCCGTTGGTAGCATTTTATTCTTTTAATAAAACATATGTAGATGAAGTTCATATTTATAGTAACAATAGATTTATTTTCCGTTAAGATGTTGATGATTTTAATGATATGTTATACGAAACTCATTGTTTACCCTTGCTTACCTTACCGGAATATAAAATGTTCGTCCGTCCGTCTTTCTGTGAATTCCGTCTGTTCTACCGATTTCATCTGTATAACAGAACCTATTAGGCAGATTTTTTTTTATATTTTTTATAAAGCTACATGAATGTGTTATCATTTTAATAAGTAAACGATGCTCCTAAAATATATTTGTGAAATTGGTTTTGAAAATTGTATCTTATGGTCCTTGTTCCCACACCGCTGAGTCAGAAATCATGTTAAATAAGTAGTCTATTACTTGTGGAGAAAATGGTATTTGCTGCTTAGTTATTATTGAAAACCGGTAACGTGAACCATGCGCAGATGTATGACCAAACAAATGCTGTAAAATCCGGGTAAAAATCAGACGCAAAAATTAAACATCAGAATTGTGTGCTTTACTGTATCGTATTTCTGATTGATAGACTTTAATTTTCAAGACATTTACCAGTACATTATAGATAAAAATCACATCAATTATAAGGATATACATGGAATATCATTAAAATGGTTTTACCAAAGTGATTTAGATATTATTCCGAAGGGAATATCAATTCAATTGTTCGTAGCTTACATGTTTTGTAATTTCAACTGAACTCAACATATTTTTCGTATTTTGTTATAGATACACAAGGTACAGATCGGACATGATGGAGGAAGACGGCTTGATATGACATCTAGTTGGGACCTTCAATATGTCTCAATATATGTTGAAAATATGGAAGAATTTTATGTTTTTAGAAATAATCGGAAACAATGGTTGGAGAAAGACAATAATCTGACTTTGTATAGAGAAGGTAAAGGTTTATATACATTGATCTTGATAATGTAATGAATATTATGACATTCTGCAGTTACTTTGTTATCTATTCTTTTTAATGTCTTCAAATGTCTACCACACATCCGACACCATCAATTATGTCTGTATAAGTTTTCCTTTTAAAGTATCTATACTTTAAGAATAAGTTTGATAACGGGCAATGGGATATATTCAGTCTAATTGAGAAAAGAAAATGCATTTCATTTCAGGAAATAAAACATGCATCAGCTCGTTTGATAATGGACATGTGTGGTATCTTGGCTGGAGAGGTGTTCGTTATATATACTTTGGGCGTGATGGGAAAATGTCGCTACGAACATGTAAAATGTCATGTGTTAACTGGAAGGACGAGGCAACACAGAGGCAATGTGTATCAGTGTATTATAATCAACTTCATAAGGCATGCTCTGGTTTTACCTCTAATGATCGCCTCCTTCCTGTAGACCATAGAAAATGGCCTGGAAAAGTATATTTAAGAACATGTAAAAATAATGACACATTCTAAAGGAAACAAATAGATACATTCTTTAAAAAAATTAAAGGAATATGAACGGATATTTTGATGTCTGCCTTTAATATAAGTATTTTTACTTAAATAAAAAATTGTTACCATAAAAATGTATCTATTGAATTCAGTCGCATTACAGAAAAGTCATGTTTTATGTCAATATTTAGAGCTGAGAGTAAGTAAGTGCTAGAGAGCCGCCACTTTTATGATATTTTTTCATGAATTTGTAATTAGTGCACAACAATGATTTTTTTAAAAAAATGTGATTACAGGTAACGGCAGCCACGTCACAATTTACAATATAATTATTGTTTTGGTTTCATTTTGATTTTTTTATTGTGCCCAATTACAGTTCATTATCTTTATTTTTTATTTAAAATACTTGTCAATTAATTGTATACCACATATATAATCGTATCCTAACTAATTTTAAACAAAATATATAATTTCAGATCAATTAGGTTTGTATTGTTTTCCTAGTAAAACAGTATATTTCTTTTATCATACTAAAAAACATTACATTTCTTAAATCGAACTTTAAAACAGTATATTTATTTTATCATACTTTAAATAGAGGATCTTGAATGAGTGTTTATGTTGTATTGAATTTATTAAACGAGTCATCTGAAAACGATAAAAACGAGGCTCTGCCGAGTATTTATCGTTTTCAGATGACGAGTTTAATAAATTTAATACAACATAAACACGAAATTAAGATTCTATTTATAACATGACCAGAAAAAGCACCCTGATAAACGAAGAAAATAAATTGCTGTGCCTTTTTTCTATATAAGGAGAAATGGGTCGAAGTTGTTATACGGGTTCTGACCCTCATGCGCTAAAAAAAGTAGTACTAGTTATTTTTAAGGAAAAACTATTGTGCTTACTGACATATAATATCACATTTATTTCGTCAAATTTATAACATGTTTTTATAGCAATAACAAAATTTAACATCATTCATTTGTAAAAATATCACATTGTCACCATGTTACTCATGACGTCACTGTTCATGTGTGTAAAGTTTGATAACCGGCATCTTGCATATGAACTCGAATTTAATCACTATCGCTGTCTATGTATCGTGCACGTTTGTGGCCTGAATTTGGATTTAATTTGGAGTCATTTTGATGAACATGCACATGAAATGTTCCACCATGTATGGGAGCGCTGAAAATACTCTGAAACCCACCGGATACGTGAAGATTGGACCTTGAATCGGTGTTGACATATGCTGTGTTATGGTTTAACTGTGCAGAATTTGAACACGGATATGGAATGGGATTCGCTGGAGTGTTTTTTTTTTTCATTGGAATGAAGGATATCGGATATTTGTCTGTGCTGATTCTGATTTATGTGACTATAATTGTTGATGGATGCTATATTCTTATGACCGGATATTTGCATAATTTGGTTAGGAGGAATGTTACTGTCGTTCAATTTTTGAACAAGGTATTTTCGTGCACTGTGATTAGTAAGGCGTTTACTTGAATTTAAACCAGAATGCTGGACCATTCTCTTCATCATTGATCCTAGTTTGTTGATTCCGACTGGATTTCGTTTAAACCAGGTGTCACAGGGTGAAGGTAAGTGGATAGTTGTCAGACAGCGGTTCACTTTTTTTTGGCAAGTTACCCCTCCCATCTTTTTTAAGCTGTCGTTGTTTCATAGACAGTGTCTCTCGAACTTTAGCAAATCCAGGGCCCAAAGCAATGGTTTGTTCATAACCTTTTCGACGTAACTGCCGATCAAAACTAGATATCATTCCACGCAGGACTGAAGGCTCATACTCGTCTCCATTTTGCTTTCGGACACTGACTAAAAACCGGCAAAGTAATGAGGACAATTCATTTTCTGGAATTTCATAAATTTCACGATTTTCGTTTATCTCAGGTTCTTCAAAGAAAGATTTCAGAATTTTCATATCATTAACAGTTTTTATGAGAGTGTTTTTATTACTTTGCTCGTGGTTAAAGGCGTCAACATCAGAGTCAGAGACAATATTAAATCTGGACCTTGGCCGTGGAGTCTGTTCGGACAAAACGTTCATCTCGTCGTTAGGCACAATCGTCAATCTCTCCCTTTCAAGTTCAACATCAAAGTTACTGTCAACTAGCCTGACCATGTAGCTCGTGGTGAACCCGCGATAAACTATCTCAGTGACGATCCCAAGGCCGTGACCGTCGATTCGAACCTGATCGTTGACAGAAATGACATTCGACGCCATATTTGTTTATGTTTTTTGACAGCGCGTAGTGATAGTGATTCGGCTCATTAGCATATTTATTACACTTGTGTATTACTGACCAATTTAATACGTAAAATAATGAATGGGTTTACAACACTCCTGCACCGTGGGTCATGTTATAAAACAGTATATTTCTTTAATCATACTTTTAACAGTATATTTCTTTAATCATTCTTTAAAACGGTATAGTTCTTTAATCATACTTTAAAACAGAATATTTTGTTAATCATGCTTTAAAACAGAATATTTCTTTTATCATACTTTAAAACAGTATATTTTTTAATCATACTTTAAAACAGTATATTTCTTCCATCATACTTTTAACAATATATTTCTTTAATCATTCTTTAAAACGGTATATTTCTTTAATCATACTTTAAAACAGTATATTTCTGTAATCATACTTTAAAACAGAATATTTCGTTAATCATGCTTTAAAACAGAATATTTCTTTTATTATAGTTTAAAACAGAATATTTCTTTAATCATACTTTAAAACAGTATATTTCCTTAAATGGATCATACTTTAAAACAGAATATTTCTTTAAATAGATCATACTTTAAACGAAATATTTCTTTAATCATATTTTAAAACAGTATATTTCTTTAATCATACTTTAAAACAGAATATTTCTTAAATCATAATTTGAAACAATGTATTTCTTTAATCATACTTTAAAACAGTATATTTCTTTTATCATACTTTTAAACGGTATATTTCTTTCATCATACTTTAAAACAGTATATTTCTTTAATCATACTTTTAATCAGAATATTCCTTTAATCATACTTTCAAACAGATATTTCTTTGATCATACTTTAAAACAATGTATTTCTTTAATCATACTTTAAAACAGTATATTTCTTTAATCATACTTTAAAACAGTATATTTCTTTAATCATACTTTAAAGCAGTATATTTCCTTAAATAAATTATACTTTAAAACAGTATATTTCTTTCATCATTCTTTAAAACAGTATATTTCTTTAATCATACTTTAAAACAGTATATTTCTTTAATCATACTTTAAAGCAGTATATTTCTTTAATCATACTTTAAAACAGTATATTTCCTTAAATAAATTATACTTTTTAACAGTATATTTCTTTAATCATACTTTCAAACAGAATATTTCTTTAATCATACTTTAAAACAGAATATTTCTTTTATCATACTTTAAAACAGAATATTTCTTTGATCATACTTTAAAACAGTATATTTCTTTAATCATATTTTAAACAGTATATTATTTTAATCATACTTTAAAACAGTACATTTCTTTAATCATACTTTAAAACTGTATATTTCTTTGATCATACTTTAAAACAGTATATTTCCGTAAATAAATCATAGTTTAAAACAGTATATTTCTTAAATCATACTTTAAAACAGAATATTTCTTTAATCATACTTTAAAACAGAATGTTTATTTTATCATACTTTAAAACAATGTACTTTTTTAATCATACTTTAAAACAGTATATTTCTTTTATCATACTTTAAAACTGTATATTTCTTTAATCATACTTTAAAACAGTATATTTCTTTAATCATACTTTAAAACAGAATATTTCTTTAATCATACTTTAAAACAGAATATTTCTTTTATCATACTTTAAAACAATGTATTTCTTTAATCATACTTTAAAACAGTATATTTTTTAATCATACTTTAAAACAGTATATTTCTTTATTCATACTTTAAAACAGTATATTTCTTTAATCATACTTTAAAACAGTATATTTCTTTCATCATACTTTTAAACGGTATATTTCTTTCATCATACTTTAAAACAGTATATTTCTTTAATCATACTTTTAATCAGAATATTCCTTTAATCATACTTTCAAACAGAATATTTCTTTTATCATACTTTAAAACAATGTGTTTCTTAATCATAGTTTAAAACAGTATATTTCTTTAACACACTTTAAAACAGTATATTTCTTTGATCATACTTTAATACAGTATATTTCCGTAAATAATCATACTTTAAAACAGAATATTTCTTAAATCATACTTTAAATAGAATATTTATTTAATCATACTTTAAAACAGAATATTTCTTTTATCATACTTTAAAACAATGTACTTCTTTAATCATACTTTAAAACAGTATATTTCTTCTTTATTTTATGCTTTTCAGTGGATTACTGATTTATCCGTGAAAGTTATGTTTGATAATTTCACAGTGAAAATTATCAAAATATAATTTTACATTTTTCAATGACGAAACTACTTTTTTTAGATTTTTCCCACGTGGTACCTCAATTTAATTTTTGCCAACAATTCTGACAATGTCAGGCTGTTTAAAGAAAACGCAAAGCTGAAATTGATAATCAACTTAAATGTCAAAAGTAATAAAAAGAAGAAAACTTACTTCTATTCATTCAAATTCCAATTGCCAAGTTTCATCTCTAAATTGTTTGTTTCATTTTTACAGTCTGAAAAATTCATTCCTTCCACATGCAAACTGCTCTTGATGACATTTGGGCATATTAAAGTATCCTACAAGCAATAACTGCCGTATGCTTTATGAAAAATTGAAAAGCAATGACAGCTATCACCTCGTAGAACAATTAAAACCACCCAGCGTTCCGAGCAAGTTCCAAGTTTTCCATTTCATAGCTGCTTTTTTTTCATGTTTTTCACATCTGTCAACACTTATTTTTTGTCTGTTTCAATCCTCAAATATGTTTTCTTTCTTTTAAAAAGGTGTATGACTAATAAATCCAATGATATCCCTCTGAATCAAACACAATTGTTTTCCTCCCGTGAACTACACAACTTTAAAAAATGGCTGCCGCTTACATTTAACAAAGCCAGGTCTAATATAAATACGCAGTAAGTAACAGAAAATATGGATGGATGGTTGGAATTTTTTCTCTACAAGAATTGTTTTGTTTTTATTATTAAAACAATCGATCATTCATATTTTTTTAACAAAATAAATAATATCACTGTCATTTAACGTTGATTGTCGGACTTACTTTACAGCTCAAGACTTCTTGTTTTTAATGAGAAATTTCGACTAAATGGGGCTCTCAATGGGGAAAACAGATTTTAATATTTACGTTAATATTATGGAAATTTCGTTTTAACTTGTTTTTTAGCATAAAATAAAAAGA